AGGCCATCCGGGACCTGAAGGAGAAAGACTTGCAGGCATGGAGACGGAAGAATGGGGGTGGGGGGAAGGGGGGAAGGGGGCTGGTGGAGGGAGGATAGGAAGGGGAGAGAGGGAGAGGGGAAGGGGTGAATGGAGAGGGAAGAGGGGAGAGGGAGAGGGAAGAGGGGAGAGGGAAGCGTTAAAGGAGGCGAAGGGAGGGAGAGAGGCGAAAGGAACTGAAGATGGGAGAGGGAAAGGTGAGGAAAGAGGACGGAGGGGAATAAAAGAGGGGAGAGGGGCGGAAGCAAAGAGGAAAGGATGGAAAGGAGATGTGGGTAAAGGACGGAGGAAGTGATGGGGGGAAAGGGATGGAGAGAAAGAGGAAAATGAGAGAAGAACTGGGAAGGTAAGGAGGAAGGGAGGGAGAGGAGAGGAGAGAGGGGAAGGACTAAGGTTAATAGCCCTGTTTGTCAGGTAACTGTTCACGTTAGGAATTATTCCGAGATGGTCTTCTTTTTTCGTCGTTCTGGTATTCTGTATCTGTCGGTCTCTCTGCTCTCTCTCTCTCTCTCTCTCTCTCTCTCTCTCTCTCTCTCTCTCTCTCTCTCTCTCTCTCTCTCTCTCTCTCTCTCTCTCTCTCTCTCTTCTCTCTCTCCCTCTCTCCCTCTCTCCCTCTCCCTTTCCCTCTCCCTCTACCTCCCTTTACCCCCTCTTCCTCCCCCTCCTCCTTCCCTCCCTCCCCCTCCACCTCCTCCCTCCCTCCCTCCCTCCCTCCCTCCCCCTCCTTCCCTCTCCCTCCCTCCTCCTTCCCTCCCTCCTTCCCTCCCTCCCTCCCTCCCCCTCCTCCTTCCCACTCCCTCCCCCTCCTCCTTCCCTCACTTCCCCTCCACCTCCTCCTTCCCTCTCCCTCCTTTCCTCCCTCCCTCCCTCCGAAGGTATATTATTTGGTTTTCACCTCATACTTCACCAACCAGGCGTCGCCCGGACTACAGTATATCAAGCGCTTCATCACATCTGGCTGGCATTTCTTGACCTCCCGGGGATTCTGTCATTAAGCGGTCCCACTTTTTTGCGCTGGAATAACAAGGGAATTGGGTGTCATCAGAGTTTTGAAATATTATGAAGGAATATAGGCCGTTTCAGAGCCTACGGGTGATGAATGGAGGCATGGAACAGATAGAAAACAGGTCTAAAACATATGGGAAGACATTAGTTTGTCGTTTGCTGTTGTGAGTGTGTAAACACGTTATGTATATACAAACACTTGAACACGCGCGCGCTTATATGTAATATATATATGTGTGTGTGTGTGTGTGTGTGTGTGTGTGTGTGTGTGTGTGTGTGTGTGTGTGTGTGTGTGTGTGTGTGTGTGTGTGTGTGTGTGTATGTGTGTGCATAATATATATATGTTTATGATATATATAGATAGATAGATAGATAGATAGATAGATAGATAGATAGATATGATATGTATGATATATTTATAATATATACAATATATATATATAATACTTACATATATATATATATATATATATATATATATATATATGATACTTACATATACATACATATGTATATATACATGATAAATATATATGTAATTGTATGTATATATATATGTATTTATATATATATGTATATATATACACAAATGCTTATGTATATATATACATATACTTATTTACATACATATACATATCAGTAAACACACACACACACACACACACACACACACACAAACAAACACACACATATGTATATGTGTACATATATGTTTATATATGTATAGATACATATACATATGCATATATACACATATACATACACATACGTATGTGTATATAATATATATATATATATATATATATATATATATATATATATATATATATATATATATATATTTATACACACATACACACCATTGTTAATATTTTAGTGTGATTTCCTGTCTCCATCCTGGCGGCCGCGTTCATCGCCACCCACTTCCTCTGTTTTTTTTTTTCTCTCAAACGAAGAACAAGTGTTCACGCGAGAACTCATCCTGTGACAGAAGAGAACATCCGCTCTCGATATCGTTCACTTCTTTACGATTGTCTTTAAAATGTTCCGTCTGTATTGTTCTTATTTGTTCTTATTTTCTTTCTTATTTTATCGGTGGGGTTGGTGTTAATGAAATGGTGTGTTTATGTCTTAGTTTTTGTTTTTCTTTGTATGAATGCGTTTGTATTTTCCTTGCGTGTGTGTGTGTGGTACTTCCTTTTGCTTTATGTTTCTACCTTTTTTCGTTGATATATGTATATGTATGTTATATATATATATATATATATATATATATATATATATATATATATATATATATATATATATATATACATATATATACATATACATATATATATATATATTTTTTTTCCTCTTCCTTTTTCATCGATATATTTTTTTTCTCCTTAACGAAGTGGGTATTTAGTTCTTCCCTTATTTTGCACATCTAATTACGTCTCTTTGTTCTATTTCC